TGAGGGTTCCATTTTCCCCACATCCTTGCCAACATTTGTTGTTGGTGGTGTTTTTGATAATGGGTATTCTAACAGGGGTAAGGTGGAATCTTAGTGAGGTTTTGATTTGCATTTCCTTTTATGGCTAGAGATGGTGAGCATTTTTTCATGTGTTTTTTGGCCATTTGAATTTCTTCTTTTGAGAAAGTTCTGTTTAGTTCAGTTGCCCATTTCTTTATTGGTTCATTGATTTTGGGGGAGTTTAGTTTTTTGAGTTCCCTGTGTATTGGAACTCAATACACAGTGCTTTAGCACTCAGCTTTGATGTATAGCTGGCAAATATTTTCTCCCACTCTTCAGTTTAGAGACCATTTCTTTGTTGTGCAGAAGCTTTTTAATTTCATGTAGTCCCGTTTTTCCATCCTTTCTCTCAGTTGCTGAGCTGCTGGGGTTCTATTGAGGAAGTCCTTGCTTATTGCTTCCAGAGTATTCCCTGCTCTTTTCTGTACTAGCTTCAGAGTTTCGGGTCTGACATTAAGGTCCTTGATCCATTTTGAGTTGATACTAGTACAGGGTGATAAACATGGATCTAGTTTCAGTTTTCTGCAGGCAGATAACCACTTTTCCAAGCAACATAGGCTGTCTATTTTCCATCATATGTTTTTGGCCCCTTTGTCAATGGATTCATATCCAGGTCCTCTATTTTGTTCCACTGGTCTTCATGTCTGTTTTTGTGCCAGTACCATGCAGTTTTTATTGCTATTGCTTTGTAATATAGTTTGAAGTTGGGTATTGTGATACCTCCAGCATTGCTCTTTTTGCAATGCTGAGTACTGCCTTGCCTATTCACGATCTCTTGTGTTTCCAAATGAAGTTTAGGGTAGATTTTTCAATCTCTGTGATGAACGTCATTGGGATTTTGATGGGAATTGCGTTAAACATGTAGATTGCTTTTGGTAGTATACCCATTTTTACTATGTTACAATCCACTTTTTTATTGCTTTAAAAAAATCCCAGGGAATATAAGACCAAATATTGGTTTAGTGAATATGGCCAGTTCACCTACACATGCTACAGCTTCCATTTTAGAGACACTGCATAATTTTCTAGCATCAGAAGAATGAGGATATTTTGCCCAATGTTGAACACATATTGGGGATAATTGTGATTTTTCATAAGTCAAGAAGGAAGGGAAAGACATCCAAGCTTTGTTCTGTGGTAATTTTGGTTTTGGAGCTGGATAGGTGATCTTGTTCTAGAAATCTGAGCAATCTCCCCACCCCATTCTCCACTGGGATGGTCCTGCTCTTCAGAGATGAAGATTGGGAAGCTCGTAATGCTAATGAGGTGTAAATGCATTTTCAGTTACTTTATTAAGCACTAGGTTCATTATCATTAATATTTATGGTTGTGATATGTCCCCCAGGAGACTGCAAATAACTCTAGTATTGTTCAGGTAAAATTTATAGCTAGCTGGACTAAGAAGACCACCCCCACCCAACACTTGTCATGAGCCCAAACTTATGTTTCTCATAGGAAATGAAAGCTCTACCAGTGGTTTTGGGTGGTGTAATTCTTAAGTCTATAGATCCAAGAATCTTTTAAATATAGCTAATTAACTATGAATCCAAGAGGGAATACGAAGGTCTGTGTGCTGGAAGGCAGAGAGGCATGGTGTGAATTCCCCAAGATCACATCCCCCCCTGTTGCAGTCAGATCTAGCAAATTCTACCTTTTCCTGCCACAGTCTCTGCCCTAACAAAGGCTCATAGTTTCCTCTGGGTGCAAAGGTGCAGGCAAGACTGCTGGGAGCTCCCTGCCTAGTGGGATTGAGGGGAGTTCCTCCCCTGAAAAGCTCACATGGAGCCCTGGCACTCGTGATAGTGCCATCTGCACCTGCCAGAGATTTCACACTGCTCCATCTCAAATGGGGCTTAAAATTTCTGGCTGGGCCAGAAGGAAGGAAGTGGCTTTAGCACTCAGCCATGAATCTGCTCATGAGCTCTGTGTAGTGTGGGGAACTCTGAGAGGACATATGTAGGTATTGGAGTCAAACATTACTTTGGGAACGTATTTAAACAATGAGCAATTCTGTACCACCTAAAAGCAACTTTTGGGGGGTATGGAAGGCTCTCACGAAAGCCCCCTAATAAAAGTGATAAGTGACAGTTCCACAGACATGAATAGATGAGCACTAATTCACATACCTGGTGCCTTAAGGATACCTGACTCCAGGCTCAGGTGAAATCCTTACCTAGAAAACCAAGAAGTTGGATAGATGATCTCTATGGTCCTTTGCAGATATGAAAATTTGCAACTTTAAGTAGAATGGACTTGCTTTCGTGACTGCACATCCCTGCTTTCTGAATCTCCTGTATGTTGGAATTATCAGTTGATGCAGGAGTTGTCTGGGGTGAGAGAACTCTTTGTCGTGGTACCTAGACTTCTAGACTTTACTAGGCTGAAAGGAGAGGTTGAATGATGACAAAGACGTGCTCTTAGCTGAATTACCTGTAGTTACAAACTGCATCTGGGTCCAATCAGGAGAAGCTCAGGGGAAAAGGAGGCTGGTATCATGGGGGACTCTAGAGAGAGCAAATATAAATTTGATTGTGTCTAGAGGTAGAGACGTGAAGGATAGGGGTTTCTAAAAGCAGCTTAGCCAGTTAAGACACCTAACAATCAAATGCAATGTGTGGCCCTTGATAGGTTTGGAACTAAAAACAGAAATAGTTATAAAAGACAATATTGGGACCACTGGGGAAATTTGAATATGGTTGCATATAAGATGTTATTATATATTACATTTCTTAAGGATGAAATTAGTGTTGTGGCCATGTAAAAAGATGTCCTTGTTTTGGAGAAATACTTACTTAGGTGTTTAAAGTATTATGGTCCCTGCAACTTTTATACAGTGTGGGTATAAAATATGGGCATATATTTATACACTACACACACATGTATTTAGAGAGAGGTGAAGCAACTGTTGTACAATAGTAACAGTTGGTGAATGTGTGTGAAGTGTGTTTGAGTGTGCATTGTGCTATTCTTTCTAGTCTTTACGTTTGAAGTCTTTTAAGTAGAAACTGGGGAAATGACTCAAAAATCAGAAATGGGCTACAGCTTAGGTTCTCCACCCAACAACCCTTTTCTTCTGGGTTTGTTCACCCACAGGTACAGAGTACTTGATCCTGTTATGACTTAGACTCACTTCCTTTTTCATTCTTTCCTCTCTGAAGACAGTCAGCATCATACCTGTGTCTGTGCTGACCTGGTGACATGAGGACCCAGAGCTCATTCCTGAGTGTCATGGGCCACTTCCTCTTGGCTCCCCAAGAAGGAGCTAGCTTTGAGTACAGCAGAGAAGCCAGCATTTGTTGAGTTCTTGCTCTGTGACAGGCACTTCATCTGCATCGGCTCAGCTGATTCCTTGGTTAGGTTTGTTTGTCCCATTTTTCAGATGAAGCTATGGGGCTCAGGCTGCTTGCAAATGGCAGAGACAGAACGTGAAAAATCCAGGACCAGTGATTCCCAAACCTTCATTCCTGGCTGATATCGAGTGGGCATCAGCCTGGAGTAGCACTGCAATTCCCTGGAGAGATTTTCAAAATATATTTGTGCAGTCCTCACTTCTAGGAGCACTGAGTTAGGCACTGGGGCTAAGAAATTCATTGGATAAACTTGGCTGTCTGGCTTCAGCCTCCATTGGCCCTCTCACCTCAGGTAAGTTCCACTTGTGACTTGTCTCTTCTCCCTGGATCACTTGGAGAGAAAAGCCCTTTCTCGGATCTGTCTCAGCCCTTTCTGATTTGAGTTGACCACAACAGCCTCCAGGATGCACGTAGGGGCCCTGGGTGTGAATGAACCGTAAACTCACCGTACACCTTCTCACATTTGGCCTGCTATGGCAGGGCAGCAGGAATGTAGGTGAAGGTGCTTATGGGTCCATATGGAGTGAATTGGGACTCCAGATAAGAGTCCTCTGGGAAAGAAGGACAGAGGCATGAGGAAAAGAAGTACACAGCTGTATCTGTAATGTTTTATTTCTTTTTTTTTTGAACAAACCTCAAAACAATTATGCCGTGTGAAAACAGTTAATCCTGAAAGATTATTTATCATATTGTTCCATGTATGTAACATTCTAGATATGAAAAAATTATAGAAAGGGAAGATAGAATAGTGGTTTCCAGGGGTGAGGGGCTGGAGGGGTATGGTAAAAGGACAACTGAGGAAACCCAGCAGAGATGGAAATGTTTTGAATCTTGACTGAATCAGGGTGAGTTTCCTAGTTGTGACGCTGTATTAGAGTTCTGGAATGTGTTGCCATCAGGGAAAACTAGGTGAAGGGTACACAGGATCTGTTCTTTCTTACAACTTCATAGGAATCTTGAGTTATTGCAACACAAAATATTTACTTGAAAAAGGCTGTAAAGCAACTATGGCAAAATATTAATATCAATTCTGTATGGGTTTGGGGCACATGGAAAACCATTAGATTATTTTTTGAATGTTTGAGATATCAAGTAAAAATAAAACTCTCTGGAGTTATTCACTCAGCCTTATGTGTATTCAACTTTGCCCAAGACACATTTCCTGGGCCCCTCAGACTGGGGCAATAGGGGCTGGGTTTTACCTCTGTCCAGAGGATTTTGTGAAAGGTGGAGACCTCAGTTGAGAACCATACTTCTCACCTCTCACTATCCTTGTTCAACCTGTGAAAGCATCTCATCCTTGGGAATTGGGACTTCCTACTTTGCTTGTGGCTTCCACAGTGCTCCACTGAATATCGTGAGCATGTCGTGGACATGTAACCTCAGAGACAGAGACTTAGACTAAAGAACTAGGAGGAGGAGGAAGGCTGTCTTCTCACTGGAATCCTCCCAGTTTTGTGTATGACAGGAAATAAGACATATATGCACATTCATTTATTATATAGCAAAAGTACAAGTTCACAATGCAGTCAAAAGATATAGACTAGTTACGATATAAACGAGAAAAGACGTGCAAAGACTCAGACTTTAAGAGTGAAGAGTTTCCAGCTCAGTGTCATGACAACAGACTTTTGCGGTAGCAGGTCTACTCACATGGATTCTGAATAACAATCAGAAGATATTCCTTATCTGGAAAGAGACATGGACATAATTAATAATTCATTGCCAAATTACTTTAATCAATGAACATTTCAGCAAATTTGCTTTTCCCTTCAGAACATCAAATGGACCTCATGTAGACCAATGATTGAGCTGTACTTCAGAATCACCTGGTATTTTTTTTTAATACCCATTCCTCAGGCTTGCCCTAGAAATTCTGATATCATTGGTCTGGGGTGGTATCCTAGGAAAGGGTAATTAAGAAAAAAACTACAGGTGATATTAATGTGCAGCCAGGGTGAGGGCCAGTGGTAGAAAAAGCTTTATTTAGTTTACAGGCAATTCTGATTTGATAAATGTGCTATGGAGAAGTTTGTTCTAGACTAGATTTAGGAGCCTGTCTTACACTGTGAACACAATTCATTCAAGGAAGGATGTGTTCTGTGATGCTATCTTCTAGTTGGCTGTGCTTTCTCCACAGGCCTTGGAGCCACCCTCAACTTTATCCCCAGGACAGAGGAGATTTCTGCCACTCTCCAGAGAGTCTCTGTGCTACATTCACTGAAAATGACAACATCATCTAAATTCTTTTGATTACTACTAATAAAGGCAAATGGAAAAAATTGAATTTGTTCAAAAGTCAAATTGCTAATTTCATAAGTTTTTTTAAAAGTTGCAACCTTCAGATTGAAGTATCTGCATTTTTAAATACAAGGATAATATGTCTTACCCTGTATACTAAAATCTACACTCCCCATTCTTTGAAACAAGGGTTTCAACCAGTAAAGTAGAAAGATGCTTTAACTATGAAATAAAACCCCAAATTACCTGGAGCTACCATGATTTCATGTTTCTTTGATCTGATCCTAAGGAAGGTTAGGTCATTCTGAGGATCGATGTCACGCACCGTGCTCTTGGCTTTCATTGTCAGCTGATGAAGAAGACCTGCATACTGAACTGTGGTTGAGTTGTCCAAGGTTGTTCGGATAGGAATGCCTATTAGGAGATTTAACTTAGTGTAAATTTTTTCTGGTTATAAAAGTAAACAAACATTGTAAAAATACTAGAAAACACTAATAATTGCAAAGAGGAAGAAAAAATTATAGTGATAGGGTTCACTGATACCTACTTTAGTTTATTTCTTTATAATTGTTCTGCCTCTACATATATTTTTTAAACAGATATCCTGTTAAAGTCTTTACCAATCAAAGAGCGTCAGGTAGACAATGTTAACATGCAGGAGATGAGGCCTTTTGATATGGAACAGAGTAAATTTGCTGGGAAAGGCTCAACATGGATCAATCCTGCTTGGGTTGACCAGTGTTCTACATAGATTATTCAGTGTACCTGAGTGAAATTATATTTACAAATTTAACTTCATTACTAATTTTTCCTCATGTAAGTTATAGCATACAAGCTATCCTTATTGATAATATTGTCACATTATTTTAAATCTCTGCACCCTGTACTTTTTAATGGATATAATGTAATGTGATCCATCCACTACTGTTTGGTATTTGAAACGTTTTTGATGCTAATAACGCAATAGATGTTTTTGTACAGAAATCATATGGGAAATGTAAATTGGCGATTTCAGTCCTAAGTTAATGTTTATTTTAGGGGACGGCTTGATCTTAGGGCCTTGCACTTGCTAGGCCCTACCACATGAGGCACTTGACCAGCTCAAATTAATGAATTTTTTATATAACATGCAAGTCTATAACAAGAAGTCTACAGCATGTCTACTTTGAGATGCTTGCTCTGTGACATGGTATTAGTCTTCATTTTTTTTTGAAACCAGAAACATAAGTGGATAGTACTGCCCATGCCAGAGAGTATATCAAAAGAGATTTTCCAAATTTTTCCTAACTCCTCACACGGTATTTTGGAAACCTTAACTTTTATGTTAGAAAAATATGGTAACAAAGCTACTGCAGTTTTGCTGTACATTCCCTAGTTCATACTCATTTCTGATTTGAGTGTTATTAAGCTGGCCTTTTGTGTGCTCTATTGTTCTATTATATGAGCTTAAAACACAATTTGTTAATTTAACTGGAAAATTATAGCCAGACAAATATGCATATATAATTAAATTTGGTTCAAATCAATCTAGCTCAATTCAAGTCACGCAGCATTCAGCTCCTATAAGTAACTAGGTGCTGTGATAGGTATTTTGCATATATTGTAACCAAAGATAGCTTTCATATTGAGAACTGCCAGACAGATAGGAATTCCAGGGATTTTATTTGCAAATGTGTCTTTATTTTAGGGGGACACATGAAGACATGAAGTGAGTTTGAGATTGCTGTCATATTCCTTAGGTATGTGAATTAAAGCCAATATACGAAAGAGTCTAACATGGTTCAAGAATGAGAGAATGTTTCAAACTTAGGATTTTGTCAGGTTTCGTGAAACTGTTAGAGGTCATCAATTTTGACTTTGAAACAGACTAATGTCTTCTGACAATACCCTTATCAACAATATAAAGATAGCATTTATAGGGAACATAATCAGTAGGTAACTGTGTGATTATGTGTTGTTTTCTTGGCCACATTTTTCCTAAAGGCAGTGAGTTGTCTTACACACCTGATAAAAGGTCACAAAGCATGGACCTTAGCAAGCCGGAAATGGGAATATTGCTAGCACTCAACCTTTGAAGAGAACTTTTTGAAGATAGTTTTATTTTGCACCCTAAAGTGTGACAACCTATGAAGACTGCACTGCTCAGTGTCAAGGCAAGAAATACAGTCAGAATAAATTATTTTAAATGCATATGACAAGATTATGAATCAGATGCTGAGGCCTATTTAGGCTGTCTTTTTATCATCCAAGTCAATAAATAAAAGTTAGGAGGCACCATCTCCAGAATTGGAGGCTGAGACGGATACCAAAATTATTAAGACTGAAACTTCACTGCATTTAAACTTGGAGGTTTTTTTTTTCCTATTTTTCATTTTGTTTTATTTTATTTTATTTTTATATATATATTTTTTCTTTCACTTATTTTTTATTTTTATTCTTATCTTTATTCTTTTTATTTTTTATTTTCAATCCTCTGTCTCTCTAATGCCTGTTCAGCTTACTGTTGATTAGTACACTATCTCTCCCTGTTTATATCTTTGAAACTTTTTTGTTTGATTCTTTGTTTTGTTTTTTTCCTACTTGTTTGTTTTTCCCTTTTTCTTTAACTTCTTTGCTTTCCATCTCCTCTCACCCTACCATTCTAAATGTCACCATTGTTATTATTACAAGCTAGAAAATACTTAATTGCACACAGTACAGGGACAACAACAACACCAAGGGCAATGATGAGAAGACAGAAAAAAACAGGGAAACCAGTTTCCCCACAGCAAAAAATTAGTACAGGAACCAGAGGGAAATGAAGAAAACAGATACTCAGATCCAGACTCCAACAAAATGAAGATAAACTATGCCAAAGAACCCAATGAAGCCCACAAGAATAATTTAAAAGAAGACATACTACAGGTACTCAATGAGAATTTTATAGAGATGATACTGGATAGGGTCAACCAAAATGTACAGGAGACACTCAAGAAATTCCAAGACAACAAAAAATAGAGAATTTGAAAAAGCAAAAGAAAAATAAAGGAAACCATAGAAGCACTGTATAAATACCAAAGTGAAACAGAGAACACGATTAATAAACAGATAAATGAACTCAGGACAAAAATAGACAACATTAAAGAGGAAACAACCCAGGATATGGAAAACCTCAGAAAAAAAGAATGAAACAGAACTGCAAAACAAAACAGAAGGCCAATCCAGCAGAATAGAACAAGCAGAAGATAGAATCTCCAAAGATGAAATGGTAATTATAGGAAAAACCGAAGAACTATTAATTAAACAACTCAAGACCTGTGAAAAGAAAATGCAAGAACTCACCGACTCCATCAAAAGACCAAACTTGAGAATCATGGGCATCGAAGAAGGAGAAGAGATGCAAGTGAAGGGAATGTGTAATCTATTCAACAAAATAATAACGGAAAATTTCCCAAATCTAGAGAAAGATATTCCCGTACACATGCAAGAGGCCTCCAGGACATCAAACAGACCAGATCAAAATAGAACTACCCCACGACATATCATCATTAAAACAACAAGTTCAGAAACTAGGGAAAGAATATTGAAGGCTGTAAGAGAGAAAAAACAATAACATACAAAGGTAAACCCATCAAAATCACAGCAGACTTCTCAACAGAAACATTAAAAGCAAGAAGAGCGTGGGGTGAGATCTTCTGGGCACTGAATGAAAATAACTTCAACCCCAGGATACTCTACCCAGCAAAACTATCATTCAAAATAGATGGAGCAATAAAAGTCTTCCATGATAAGCAGAAACTAAAACAATATGTGACCACAAAGCCACCACTACAAAAGATTCTTCAAGGGATTCTGCACACAGAAAGTGAAACCCGACTTAACCATGAAAAGACAGGCAGCACCAAACCACAGGAAAAGAAAAAGCAAGACAGTAGAGAATAACCTCAACTTAGGTACACACAATCAATCCTTCAAACAACTAAGACAACTGAATGACAGAAATCACCACATACCTATCAGTACTAACACTTAATGTTAGCGGACTTAATTCACCACTTGATGAAATGGATTAAAAAGGAAGCTCCAACAATTTGTTGCTTACAGGAGACCCATCTCACCAGCAGAAATAAGCATAGGCTTAGGATGAAAGGCTGGAAGAAGATTTACCAAGCCAATGGCCCCCCAAAACAGGCAGAAGTAGCAATACTTATCTCTGACAAAGTAGACTTCAAACCTACATTGATCAAACGAGATAAAGAAGGACATTCCATACTAATAAAAGGGGAAATAGACAAAAAGGAAATAATAATCAACCTGTATGCACCCAATAACAACACACCCAATTCCATCAAACATATCCTGAAAGACCTGAAAGCATAAATTAACTCCAACACAGTGGTTGTGGGAGACTTTAACACCCCATTATCATTAATAGATAGGTCATCCAAACAAAAAATCAATAAAGAAATCCAAGATCTAAAATATACAATAGATCAAATGGACCTACTTGATGTCTACAGAACATTTCATCCAACTTCTACACAATATACATTCTTCTCAGCAGCCCATGGAACCTTCTCCAAAATAGATCATATCCTAGGGCACAAAGCAAGGCTCAACAACAAAAGTAAAGACAAAAAACTTGCAAACAGCTGGAAACTAAATAACTCATTACTTAATGAACAGTAGATCATCGATGAAATAAAAGAGGAAATTAAAAAGTTCCTGGAAGTCAATGAGAATGAAAACACAACCTACCGGAACCTATGGGACACAGCAAAGGCAGTCCTGAGAGGAAAATTTATAGCCATGAATGCATATATTAAAAAGACTGAAAGATCCCAAATCAATGACCTAATGATACATCTCAAACTCCTAGAAAAACAAGAACAAGCAAATCCCAAAACAAATAGAAGGAGAGAAATAATAAAAATAAGAGCTGAAATCAATGAAATAGAAACCCAAAAAAATACAAAGAATTAATGAAATAAAAAGTTGGTTCTTTGAAAAAATAAACAAGATCGATAGACCCTAGGCAAACCTAACTAAAATGAGGAGAGAAAAAACCCAAATTAGTAGAATCAGGAATGCAAAAGGGGAGATAACAACAAACCATGGAAGTCCAGGAAATCATCAGAGACTACTTTGAGAACCTATATTCAAATAAATTTGAAAATCTTAAAGAAATGGACAGATTTCTAGATACATATGATCATCCAAAACTGAACCAAGAGGAAATTAATCACCTGAATAGATCTATAACACAAAATGAAATTGAAGCAGCAATCAAGAGTCTCCCCAAAAAGAAAAGTCCAGGACCTGATGGATTCTCTGCTGAATTCTATCAGACCTTTAAAGAAGAACTGATACCAACCCTCCTTAAACTGTTCCACAAATAGAAAGGGAAGGAAAACTGCCAAACACATTTTATGAAG